TTGGAGTTAGTTATTAATGAATAAAGTTTTAGATTTTGTCTCTGCTTCACTTAATAGGTTCACATCTCTAATAGAAGACTAAGACTGGTAGCAAGACCAGTTACTGATGGAGTCAGAAAAATTACTATATACTGCTGTATTTGTATTATATAGTGACTGACTTGACTCTTAGATTGGGTTGCCTGGAAATAGATTCTGAGGTAAGAATTGCATGTGGAAACTTTTTGAGAAGTGTTCTCTAGATAAGCACCTATGAGGAAATGAGAAAAGGAGAATTGGGAAGAAGGAGAAGCTGACCCACACTGCAACTGAGGTGTCAGTGGGGCCTATATGGAGCTCTGGAGCTGCGATGTTCCTTCACAGTTCCAATTTGAAGCAAGGGGGAGCCTTTGTATGAGTTGGTCATTAACTGAAGGTTGTCTCCTGGGAAGGTGCCTAACCTTAAGTGAGGTAGTTCCTTGTGGCCAAGGGCAATTTCTCTGTAAGGGATGAGCTGTGAGCTGTCAACAGATGGTATTCCCAAGAGCTGAGGACAAGATGCTTTAACCCTAAGGAAGGAATCTGAGTGGAGCATCCAGTGTCAACTACATTTGGTAAGGCATCACAGTATTCTGCACTCAGACATACAGGATATAGAATAGCAGGTGGGCAGGGAAGGTGAGTTCTTGTGGATTATGGCTTTTGCTACCAGCAAGATTAATCAGAACTGTGCACACTACTTGTTACCTATAGATCATCAGGGCAAACAGCATATTCATACTCTACCCCTCTTCCCACCCATCACACTAAAAAACCAAAGATTAGATATTGTGTTTGAGAGTTGGACCTTAGATTTCTTATCTAAGAGATTCTCCTAAATTGGACATAGAGTTTTTTTTATCCCAACTGGCATGTAATAGAATTAAGCTTTAATATTATGAACTCCTCTAAGTTTTGAGTCATTAAGTGGTTTCTAAAAATAGGTTTGTTTGATAACTAGTTTCATGTTCATCATTGAGAAAGTAGTGATGTTACTTTTGATTGAATTTTCTTCCAGTTATCACACTTGTTTAGATTCATATAACATTAAGCATATTAAGAGTTATGTAATTCTCTACTCTTTTTTAATGAGGCAGTTCTTCCTAATTGCTGTGAGAAAGAAGCAGTTGATCAGCTTTCAGACAATTATGTGTCACTAGGATGACCCTGAAACAATAAAGGTTGATGTCGGAGTCCAGCTCCAGCGGTGGGGTGTGAAGCCCAAAAGGATGAGACGGAGTCGGCATATGGAAAGACAGGACACGGAGTCAGCTGGAGGTGGTCTCTCGACAAAGTGCCGATGACAGCTTTGTTTATGCCATTTTGCACAAGGATATGATTATTTTTTATTATTCTGATGATTAATTAGTATAGGCAGTTGGTTAATAAGTATAGGCAAGCTTTTTTCTTTCTTTTACTTTCTAATCTATTCATGGTTGGTCAAGCGTTAGACAGGTGATTGTTTTTCTGTTCCTTGACCAAAACTTTTCCTGTCAACATGTACTCTATTGTGTTTTACGTTTCTATGCAACGCAGTTTCTAAGAAGTGCTTGTGACCGTAGGAGCGTGCAGTATGTAGCAGCGACTATGGAGTCTATCAGCTCAGGGTGTAATACAGGTCACCTAGTGCCACAGTTAGCTAGGATTCTTTCCCACAAAAATATTTTTAGAGGCCTTAATAAATTTATAATCAATCTAAAATCATAAACTCATATCTTCACCTTATACTCCTTTATAGGGCACAGTAGGCAGCAAACTAAATTTCTCTTTCTTATCTACATTTCTCTTCTGTGTGAATATCAAAATTTCTCTTACATATACTACACAGGTCTCTATGACTCCACTACTGCAGGGACTAAAGTTATGTGGTGAACAGTGCAAGGGCATTCATATCATAGAAACTGTTTCTGTTTTAACTACAAACCTTAAACTATAAACAATTACGTCAAATATAATGTATGATTATTCATTTGATTTTTATACTTTATATGTGAATCTAATAAAATGTTCATATAATAGGTAAATGCAAGATATAGATAGAAAGCATGATTTAGAACTGTAATAAGGCAGGTGTAGATGATCAGGTTTGTGCCTACAGATCAGGTCTTAATCCAAGCAGAACAAGGGCAACAAAACATCTACAGCTGTAGATTTCTCTCAAAACTGGGGGGGTGAGGTTCTAAGCCTCACCTCTGTTGGCCCCCTTTTTCTCACCTGATGGCCCCCCTGCGACTGTGCCTGTCTTAGGTTGTTCCTCCCTTGAGGAATCTTATCCGTCTCTGGCTAACCAGCCATCTTCCGGGGCCATACAGGGAGATATAAAGCTGGTGAGAGAGAAGTAATATTCTTTGAAAAGGTTAGTTTTTCACTTCTTTGCAGATTTATGATCCGTGGCTTCTATGCCCAGCACTTGTTTTGAGGTATCTTTACTTCTTGGAAAATTATGGTACTTGGTAATTTCACATATGAGGCACAAATTCTAGTAAAGGGCCGTAATTAGGAAAGAAGTAAAACAAACTATAGAAGTAGTAGAGGGAAGAAAACATGAGATGATTAATTAAATGTCAACAGGGTTATTCTATTCAATATTTTCTCATGACTCTATTTCTATAAAACTTTCCATCACTAGTTTCACTAGCATTGTAAACAAGGGGGGCATTCTCAGTGGAAATGGGGTGGTCAATGTTTGACTAACTAACAGCAGGTTTCGGTACTTTATGCCAAGATTGCCATTTGGCCCTTGCGTGTTCTATTCTTCAGGAGCATTGTCCTGAAAAGCTCCTGGGAAACTTATGTTCTCATCCTTTCCACACTGCTCAGCAAAGGTAAGCTTAGCTCTTGGCAATAATGCAAGCAAAAAACAAAACCAATAGTATAATGGAGAAAAACAAAATCAAAGTGGGTAATAGAGGGAGCCAGCTGCGAAGGCCCCTGCTTTGCGGGGTCTTCCTCCAGCCTGAGCTTTGCTATACAGCTTGAGTAGCATGGCTCCCAGCAGGTTGACTTTTAAGATAATAAACTGTAGACATCTCTTAGCAAACTCAAGCCTTGGTTTTCTGGAAAATATAAACCCATATAGTTTATATTTATAGGATGTGGCTTTGATGATGTCAGGGTCCCTATCAACCCTTAATAGTATAGAGTTAAAATGGCCTGTGTGTATCAAAGCACTTTCATGTGGAATGCTAAAAGTGAATACCCCTTTATGAGACTCAATTTCTAAGGGCACATCAAGCAGATAGGGCAGCATGCTGGAGGATCTAACATCTGAGATGAATCCTTGAAAATGAGTAAGAATCAGCCATGTTAAAGGCAGGAATATGGCAGGAAGGGTTTTCTAGTAGGAAGGGGCAACAGGTGCAAAGGCCTCAGAGAGAGCTTGTCTGTAGCTCATGATAGCTAAAACACAGGATATTTTTGTAAGTCAGTACAGAGAAGGGATAAGCAGGGGTCTGATTTCAAAAACATACATTGTGAGCATATGAGATTTTATCCTAAGAACCTGGGGAGCCACTGAAGTGTGCCTACACTAAAAGCAGAGGCATACCTTGACCAGATCTGTGTTTCAGGTTGATTACTCTAGCTACAGTGTGGAGAGCCACTGGAGGGGTGTGAGTGGAGGCATCAAGACCAGTGAAGAGACACGGAAGATATCTTGGGGACCCAGATTGTGCAGAAACAGTGAGATGGTGGGAAGTGAACAGATTTGAGAGGCTTTTTGCAAGAATGTGGTATCTTGGCAACTCACTGGGCATGGGGGCATGACAAGCAAAGGTGACATGCCTGAGCTTTTAGTGTAGGCACCTAGATATAAGAAATGGAACTTTTTCCCCTGATGCGTAGGTGGTGTGGAGAGGTGACAGTTTACTCTGTGTGATGATTCATGGGTCTTTGAATGCAGCCTGAGGTAGGACTGAGATACGTGCAGGTACTAGCACCCATTTTTTATTATTGGACGAAAGAAAAGACAAGTTAGAGAGATGGAGAAAGGGAGAAAGTGGAGGAGAAAGGAAGGAAGGAAGAGGACCTAATTAGAATTAACAGGGAAGAAAGGTCTTATTTTATTAGACATCAGTTGGAGGTGCTTAAATAACATTAAAGGAGAACAACCAGTGTATTATTATTGCTACCAGTAACGATCAGTCTGCATGGCCCAGAGAGGGGGAGTTCCTTGTAGATGATGCTCTGAGAAATTGCAAAGGCAGTGCAGACTTTTGTTTCTTTTGAATCCTGTTGTATCTGAAAACACTTCAGTTTGATGAGGGGGCACTGTTGGCAAGAGGTGACTTGTAGGGTATGCAGTATATATTTCAGCAAGGGAAATAGTATTGCTGTTTTGAGGATATTCTATGATAACTGGAGGGTGTAATTTCTTTTTGTAGTTTAAGGAAATCTGTAGGCCAATTAAAAAAATATTTTTAAAGACAATAGAGGTGGTAATATGACTAAAATATCTGGTGGAATTTATTCCTGGAAATTGTTTCCTATGTTGAGGAGAAAGCAATATTTCACCTTGGGGACATTTATGAGATCCATTAGTTTCCTTTTGGATTTCTTTTCTTAATCTGTATTTTTTCAGTGTTGAAGCTGGCCTTTTCGTTTGCATTTACATTACTTAAAATATACCATATGATAACATGTTTATGTAAAAGTTTATGATACACACATTGTCATTTTAATATGTGACTGCATAGAACCACTTGTTTTCCATTTTATCAAACCCTTTTGCCTCATTTCATCTGGACCACTGTCCCAGGCACACAAGTCAGTAGCAGCAATGCAAGCTTTGCCAACCCTCATGTACTACTCAGAAAGTTTTGGGGAAGTCATCTTGAAACTTCAGGCACTTTATTTCCTCTTTGGACAGCTGGAGAAGTACAGTGGGATAAATAAACATGCTATTATGTGTGAAAAGGCAGTACTCACCTTAGCCCTTAGCCTATTATTTTCTGATGTTATAATGCCAGTTTATTTTATTACAGGTACTGAAGATGTGAAAGGTGTATGACCATCTATCTTCAGTTTGACATGTGATCTGAGATTCTAATGCTTCTTGATGTGTAGATTGGACTTGGGACTGCCAATTGTGAGGAGATGAAGAGTTTTTAGTTCCCAATTTCAAGTAAGTCACCGTTATATAATGAAATCCTACTATTTTATCCTGGGAGATGCAATCTTTACTAAATTATGCTGAAATTACCCCAAATAACACTTACCTTCATATTCTCTCTGATCTGTTTATGTTCTCTCTACCAGTTTCATAATAATAAATAGAGAAATGTCACTATAATTCTTCTGCACAATTTCATGATTAATGTGTATGTCTAATTAAAATGACTTTATTAAGCATATTTCCCACTAAATAATTTTATTTTTCTTAAGGGAAAATACTTTTAAGCTTCCTTACAAAGAATATTGAGATTATTCAAAATCAAAGAACTTGATTTATAGCCTATGCTGCTGTGTTGAAGACAGTATACATGTAATGATCTAGAAAGTCTGTGATCAGTTTCAGTAACAGATTTCCCTTTTTCTTATTTGATTATTAGGGACAGCAGTAGAAATTTGACTTCAGAAGGTAAAATAGCCATTTCTAGGAAGGTGCATCGGATTTAGAAATTGTTCACATAGATGTATAGTAAACAGGTTAAATGAAGGTATTCTTTTTCAAATCTGAGAGTTTATATTCATAAGTAGTATTTTCCCTTGAGAATTGCATTCAGAAAAAAAATAATGTCTATATAAACACATTTGTCAAAAACAGACGTTTTCATTCACAAAGATCAGTATTTGTGACTGAGACAGTGAGGTTTCTAAATATGTTATTATGAGGTAATTTAAAATCCTTTAGAAGCACAGTAGGAACTGCCTGATGCATAGGACCCTAACTGTGAGTCTAAAGATGACATCCTATAATTATAGGAAATGCTAGGGTTTAGGGTAGAACTAAGAGACATACTGAGCTCCAACTCCAGGCATGCTGAGCACCAACTCTGAGCCTCAAGGTGGGGCTAGATGGAGTGTGGTGATGTGGCTACAGCACTGTAAAACCACAGTGTGAAACTGTGCACTGTAAAGCCACAGCACTTCTTGTAGTTTTACTGCAGATCACTATCTTGTCTCCCACCTTCATCCTTCTATAACCCCAATTTCCTTTTTGTGTTTAGGTGTTTTAGTGGAGGAACCAGCAGCTAACAAATTCTTTTTCTTCTTTTGATACCTTCAGGGGTCCACATGTTTATCTTGCCCCTTTCACCTTCTTTGTATAGTTCATTGAAACTATTTGTTTTGCTGGAGAAACCATGCACTGGAGAGACATTCACCTTAAGTAATCCATAATCTACTGAAAAGTGTCTGCTCTTTCTTCAGATTCAATTTGGGGCCTAGCCTCCTCCACCCTTCTCTGATGCCTTGGATCCCAAGTGCATGCAGTACCTATCTCTTTCATGACCATGTAATCCTTTATTGTACTTGTCCTTGTTCTCCACTCCAACTCCATACTTAAGGCCTTTCTAGAATGGGAAGTGGTCATTTATTCTTAATGCTCCCATGTCTGGCACTGTGCTTAGCTAATTCCAAAATCACACATGAATACATTTATGTTTTCTCTTTTCCTGAACAAATTATTTAAAACAAGAAAGTCGAATGGTCAGGAAGATAGGCATACCCAGTTCGTCACCAGGTTCTGCCTCTTGTCATCTAGATATATCCTATTTCCTAGTTTTACATTTTGTTTTCTCTACCTAAGTTCAGGTTCTCATGTTCTTTCTGCTGCATGTTAAAACTGTCTCCTTGCTGTACTGTACACTTAAAAAATTATTAGGAGAGTAAGTTTATGTTGCATGTTTTTTATAACAACAGCAACAATGTTTCCTACTGGACCTGCCTCCTCGTAGTCATAACTCGCATTCATCCTCCAAAACGCCGACATAATCATTCATTAATGTACAGATTTGAAGATATACTACATAGTGTATAGGATCCATTCTAAGATCCTTAGCATGTCACACAAAACCTTTTGTGATCTTACTCTTAATTCCCTAATTTCATCTCTTGTTATTTCTTGCTCCAGCTATACAGTACTTCTTATGTGGCCCAATCAGTACAGTTTCTTACCTTGTGCCTTCTTCTGAATTTTCCTGTTGCAAAAACATGCTCCTCTTCAGTCCACTTTTCTGTCAAACTCCTACTCATATACTGCATACTGTAGAGATTATGAGAGAACAGATTCATATCCTGGTTCTACCACTTTTGTATAAACTAAGCTTGAGCAAGTTGCTCACCTCTCTGGGCCTCAGTTTTCTCATCTGTATAGTCAGGGCTGATTACTAGTTTCTGTCTGATAAGTACACAAATGCAAGCTATTATTCTTTTACTCCTTAAGACTTAATAAGGAATTCTACTCCTCCAGGAAAACTTTAAGGATTTCTCAGGATGGCCTAGGTTTCCTTCCTACATGCTCCATAACTTCTTTGGCACATCTCTGTTCTTAGACTCACCACATTTTGTTGGGATGGTCCCTTTATGTAACTGCCCAGTAACCAGACTGTGAGCCACTTGAAAGAAGAAATCATATTTTATTTAGTTTTATATCTTCAGCACAATACTTGTTCAGAGTAAATGCTCAATAAATATTTGATGAATGAATGATTCATTGTACAGTGTACGATATGGGAAGAACTTGTACAGTGGTAAGAATTCATGTTTTGGAGTCAGATATGTTCAAATCCAATACATACTCTCTCTGCATCTGCAGGCAAATAATTTCTTTCACATTGTTTTTTATGTATAAATAAGGATAATACCCCCTTCCTTAAAAAAAAAAATCTGTGATAGTATGCAGAGTCTACTGCAGTGCCTGAATAATGTTGTTTTTGTTCTTATTATCTTGAAAATATGTAATAATCTTATCTCACATAGTTAATACACAGATGCATTTTTGTTTTCCTGAAGAATCATATTAACTCTAAAGAATATATACTTTAGTGCTTATTTTTTTCTAAAGCTAATCTCTTACTGAATTTCCCCTAAAATACCCGTGGCTTCCTGAGTCCCTGCATTGTCTGTAACACTCAGTGGGCACTTTGCAGTTATTCCTTGTAGTTTAACCAACCTCTTTACATTTGCTTTGTCTGTGCAAATAGATTGTAAGTGTTTGACAACAATAGCCATGTCTTATATATCTTTTTATTTTCTTCCTACCTTCCCCAGTCGTTGTTCTTGTCTGCTCTTCTTAATAGAGGTGTCTGTATAAACTAACAGATCAATAAATAAATGTTGACTGATGATGATGAATGGAGGTCTAAGAGCAGGCAGGGGCAACTAGAATGTCTTGGCTCTTGGAGAGCCCATAACATTTGAAGTGGAATCTTAGCTGACAATTAATGCGAAGCTGCACCAGACATGAAGGGGAACATAAAAGAAATACAAGATACAGTCCTTCCTCTGCAGGAGCTGGCAATCTTTTTGGCAGGATAAAGTATACTCATGCTGAACTGTTAAGGAGCAGCACTGGACAGAATGTGATTAAATCTACACAGTGTTCAGAGGAGGAGAAATTAGAAATTCATGCAGGTGAGGCTGAAGTCAGGAGATTGTTGGGAGATTCAAAGGGGAAAGAGATAGAACTTTATTAGTATTTGAATGCTTATGATTAGCCATGTATTGTGATGAGTGATGAACCTGTATTCCATGTGGGTGTGTATGTGCGTGTCTATGTTCCTGTGTGTGCAATGGGAACCTTTTATTTGTTCATCATTCAATAAACATTTTTAAAACTATAAAAAATGCGGAACATAAAATTGACCATTGTAACTATTTTAGGGTATGTAGTGTTAAATATATTCACATTACTGTGCAAAAGATTCCCAGAACTTTTTCATTTTGCAGAACTGAAACTCTATACCCACTAAACAACTTACCATTTCCTCCCTCTCTTTGAACATGTTTTGTTTTATCTGATTCTTACAACAAAAACCTCTGAGATAGTATTAGGAATGCCATTTTACAAGGAATTAAGTGAGGCTTAGAGGTTTAAGAAAATTTCTCAAGGTCTTATAATTAATAAAGGCAGAACCGCAGAACCACAGATCAGGAAGGGAATGAACTATTAAGAACCCATAATTTCAAGCAAGATAGCGGAAGAGCTATATTTTGCTTTTTGTAGGAACTGGTTTTTATGGGCCATTCATGGACATGGTGGCTTTTGCCTCTAAAATGTTCCATAAAGCATCGGATACTGCTCTACTTTCAAAAACTCTCCTTCCTTGTCATAAGGTCTCTGTTGTCTGGAATATTGCTGCTGTATTAAGAACATCAGAAAAATGGTAATGTGTTCCTATGACTGCTTTTTGGGCATATAGTCCTCCAAGGCCCACTATTGAAGATTGTTCTTCAGAGTGAAGGGTGTTGAACCAAGTTTGAAATCTTTCTAGAACTAACTGTTCATGGGGTGGAAAGAAGGAACTTAAATGTGTCTTGAAGGAAAGCTGGCCTATTGGATTGATGGTGGCAAGCTCAAAGAAGTAGGTAGGTGATCTTTTTTTGGTCAGATTTCCAGGATGACAGAGGAATGGAAGTGAAAATACAAGACCCAAATATAGTACCCAACCTAGAAGAGCTCCCTGTTGGTTGAGGCCTTATAAATAGATTTTTCCTGCTGAGATATATTCTGGCAATAGATTAGGCTACACATGGAGTTCTATAAAGTAGTTGTTTAAGGAAGACACCGGGGGTGGCATATGTACTTGGAAGGATGAATCAGGAGTGGAAACCATTAGTTGTTGTGAAATAATGTATTTTATTTGTCAAGCACTATGTGAACTGCTTTATGTACATTTTGTCTTATTCTCAAAACATCTTATAGTAGGCATTATTGCCCTTATTTGATACACTGTCTCGAAAAGGTAAAGAATTTGCCCTGTCCTGGGCTGGTTATTAAACAATAATTTCTCAGTTTAAGGCACATTCTTCCATATTTTTCTTTTTAATACTGGGTCTGGGCATCTGCTAATCATATTTCTGTTTTTTCAGGTGATGAAACTCTGTCAGTGGGGAATGCTAGAGGAAGATTGCAAGCAGGAGGAAGTAGATGAAACATGCTCCTTTTTCTCTAATGTTGTT